TTAGATATATAGAGCAAGCAGATATAGCATCTATATAATTGGAGTCTCTTAAGGGAAAGCAGTCTACTTTTTGTGACCCCATGGGCTGTAGCTGCCAGGCTTTTCTGTCCATGGAATTTTCCAGGCAAGAATACTGGAGTGGGTAACCATTCCCTTCTCCAAGGGATCTTCCTGACCCAGGGGTCAAGCCTGGGTCTCCTGCATTGCAAGCAGATTATTTACCATCTGAGCTACCAGGGAAGTCTGAGGAAAAATAAAGTAGAATAAATGTGTTAGGAAAATTTTCTTAAAATAAGTGGAGATTTATAATATGTTAATAAAATGCAGTAAAAATAGACCCAAGTAGGTTTACACCAGGACTTACTAAAATATTAGACTTGAAATATAAAAGAAAGAATTCTTGGACAGCAAAGAGTTACAAGCAAAAAAGCAAAAAAATGACATCATTTATCTAGGGAAAAATATCCATATGACTTTAGTCATCTCTGTAGCAGTATTGTATAAGACAACATTTTCCAGTATTTTCAAGGAAAATATGAACTAAGAATTTTTATATTTAGGTAAATAGTTTTTATAGTGTAAAAGCTAAAGATGAACATGTTGAATTTGCAAAAACTGAGAGGAATTGTTCCCATGAGTCCTTTTTTGAAGAAACTTTGTGAGTATTTGGAGAAGGGAATGGGAACCCACTCCAGTATTCTTGGCTGGAGAATTCCATGGACAGAAGAGCCTGGCTGGCTACAGTCCAAAGGGTCTCAAAGAGTTAGACACGACTGAGTGACTAACAGTTTTAAGTATTAATTTCAGCCGACCAAGAGATTGTTGGGAATACTGATGAGTTTTGAATACATTTAAACTGTAGAACTGAGATAGAAAGAAATGTGAGGATTAGGATGACAGAACAGAATGTAAACATTATATGCTCTCACAATGTAGAAATGATACATCTCACAATAACTGAGTTGAAAAAGGGAAGGAAGGTGTGAGGTAGAGTAAGTTCATTAATTTCTTAAGCTATAATAGCTGGGAGTCAAAGCTTATCAGTTTAAGCAGCCAAATTGAGTAATAGAAGAATGAGCGTATTTAATAGTACATGAGTAAACTCTGAGAGAGAAAATTATTGACTAATATTAGGTGAGGAAGGAAGAGGAAATATGCTAGTTTTAAATATTGTTCATTTGGAATTTTTATTGACTGAAAACAGAAGAAAAGTCCTATGGTTATATGGATTACCAGTAGAATAAAAATTACCCACACAAAGAAAGGGACATCAGCCGTATTTGATTTGATAAAATTTTAAAAATTAAATTATGATAACAGAAAACACAATTAATGTGAAGTAAATATAAATAAGCGCTTCCCTGGTGGCTCAGTGGTAAAGAATCCACCTACCAATGCAGGAGACGTGAGTTTGATTCCTGTGCTGGGAAGATCCCCTGGAGAAGGAAACGGTAACCCACTCTAGTATTCTTGCCTGGAGAATCCCCATGGACAGAGGAGCCTGGTGGGTTACAGTCCATGGGGTCACAAAAGAGTCTGACAAGACTTAGTGACTTACAATAACAACAAAGTATAAATAAACTTATATAAATGAATATAAGTGGGTTTACCTCATCTAATAAAAATAATTCAGACTTAGGTCACATAGCTTATGAAATAGACATTGAAAATAAAAGGATGAGTAAAGGTTTATAGACAAATATAAATAATAAAGAAAGTAGGGTTTCTGTTTCTATTTAAAGAGAGAGTTCTGGACCAAAAGGTTGAAATGAAATGAAATATTGGCTTTTTATTGCCAAAGGATACAATTCACAATGAAATTAAAATGGTTATGAATATTCATGCATTAAATATGAATGTATCCATATACTTATAGAAAAGAACAAAAGAAAAACTTATTTGATAGTAATAAATTTTAATTTACATCTGGGTCATGACAGATCAAAATATGAAACAGAACATATAAAATAAAAAATATAGCAACTAATTCTAAAAAGCATAATGAGGACGATTTAAAGGGTACATTTAGAACCCTGTATTCGGAATATAGAGACTATACTATCTTTTCAAGAACATGTTAAATATTTTTAAAAATTAACCTTTAATTATATAAAAACGGTAACAAATTTATAAAATAGGCACAATTTACTAATACTAGAAATCGGCAAAGCTCTTGCTTTCTTAATTAACTTTTGTGTAAAAATAAAATTTCAGAATATTTAGGAAACAGTGCTGAAAGTACTACTTATGTACTATGCCAAAGTAGTACTCAAATGAAAACTCATAAACATATATATATACACATACATATATACAAAACCACTTACTTAAACATTGGAAAAAGAACAATAAAATAAATGAAGGCAAACAGAAGGAAGAAATTAATAAAGATAAACATAGAAATTGAGTTAGCAAAACTATAGTCTTGAAAATTAATCCAGAATTACCTATCTGTTTAATTTTTTTAAACCAGTCAGCTAACATTCATGTCCAGGAATTTATCTCTCTCTATATGTGTATATGTGTCAAAGCTATGGTTTTTCCAGTAGTCATGTATGGATGTGAGAGTTGGACTATAAAAAGGTGAGCACCGAAGAATTGATGCTTTTCAACTGTGGTGTTAGAGAAGACTGTTTAGAGTCCCTTGAACTGCAAGGATATCCAACCAGTCCATCCTAAAGGAAAGCAGTCCTGAATATTCATTGGAAGGACTGATGCTGAAGCTGAAACTGCTATACTTTGGCCACCTAATGCAAAGAACTGACTCATTTGAAAAGACCCTGATGCTGGGAAAGATTGAGAGCAGGCAGAGAAGGGGACGACAGAGGATGAGATGGTTGGATGGCATCACCGACACAATGGACATGAGTTTGAGTAAACTCTGGGAGTTGGTGATGGACAGGGAGGCCTGATGTACTGCAGTTCATGGGGTTGCAAAGAGTCTGAGCGACTGAACTGAACTGATATGTGTATAAAATAACCCATGACAATGTTATTTATTGCAGCATTGTTTATAGTAATGGAAGTGTGGAAGCTACCTAAGTGGGCATTAGTAGTGGAGCAGATAAGTAAATTGTATCATGTCCATGTAGTTCTACAAAAGGAGGGTGTTCCTAATAGTGTGATGTGGAAATATTCCAAGATATATTGTAAAGTGAAAAACCCAAAGTCCAAAATAATACAACAACGTTGTGTGAAGGTGTGAGGGGGTGGGTATAAGAAGGCATATTCAACTTTGCTTATATTTGATAAGATAACTTTGGGAAGAAATTGAGTAGCCCATTACCTGGTAAGAAGGGGAGAGTAGGAACTGAGAGAATAGGTACAAATTGGAAGGTGAAATTTGGGATAATTTTTATTTTGTGAACCATATGAATGTTTTACCAATTCAATTGACTTAGAAAATGAATGAAAATTAAAAATGAATTCCTTTAAGGAAATAGTAGAGCCAGGGTATTCTTATTGTAGGCTATGCATCTTCTCTCTATCATATTTTTATATTGAGAGACAGAGAATATAGCCAGGTATTCTTCTAAGAAAAATACCACAAAGTACATGCAAATAACTTTCACAGACCCAAGCTCAACACATTTTATAACCTCAGTCATAATACTAAGGCCATTTGCTGTGTTTCTTGTGTGTCTGACACCTTGAATTTCTTGAGAGCCTTTAAAAATGTGTCGCGTGTACATTCCACCCTTAGGACTTGAAAGCTGTCGGCCTGTCTTCCCCTACCCCATTTGTGGTTCTGTCTTCTGATAATTAACATCTCTTTAATTGTAAAGGAAAGGTAGACTAAATAAATGAGTAGAACTGACTCAGTTTAGTTTTGTTGTATGACAGGTGACCCTCATGTAATTGCTGGCAGGATGCTCTCTAACACACAGAAGAGAGGAGGGACAGAACTAATATGTACTGAGATTTTGCACACATTTTTGCATTTGGTCCTCAGCACTGTTCCTTTGAACAGGTGAGGAAACTGAGGCTCAGAAAGTTCATCAGAACAAGAACTAAACCTCTGTCTGTCATCTCCTAATTTTCTAGAAGTGAGAATGAGAAACAGAGTAATACCATTATTGTTGTTGTTCAGTCGCTCAGTCATGTCTGGCTCTTTGCAATCCCATGGACGATAGCCTACCGGGCTTCTCTGTCCATGGGGATTCCCCAGCAAGAATACTGGAATGGGTTGCCATGCCCTATTCCAGGGGATCTTCCCTATCCAGGGATTGAACTGGGGTCTCATACGTTGCAGGCAGATTCTTTACCAGCTGAGCTACCAAAGAAGCCCTCCAGGAATTTGCTCAAACTCATGCCCACTGAGTTGATGATGCTATTATATGACAAGCATAAATAGGGTCTCTTTCTACTTCATCACATTTGCATTTTCAAATAATGCACAGTCATTGTAAAAAATCTGATGGAGTTCTAGTCAAGAGGAAGACCAAGAAAAGAATAGTCAAGAGGAACGTATAAAGAAGTGAAGAGAGGGGAAATTTGAAGAGGAAGAAAGAGAAAACATGTCTTTTAAGTGGAATTGGTACCTCAGGCTAAAATGGCGTATTTGGGGATTATTCCAGGCTTTTTGTGTGTCCTACATTGTTTTGATGTTTGATGACTGGGCACAGTATTTTCTCTTAAGAAAGTGAAATATTTGAGTGAGGTCTTTTGGCCAACTCACTTTTAGTTAACTCCTTTCCCTATAACTTGGTGGAGCTAGCTTAGCCAGTTGGCCATTTCATTGAGTCTTTGTTGCTGATAAGAAGTACAAGCATTAGAGTGAGATTTATATTTTCAGTGTTGTTTCATAATGAGTAGCTTTTCTTGTCCTAAGTGGTTGTTTTTGTTCATGCTGCTGATGGAACGCCTTGGTCCTCAGTATTCAATACAGCAATCTAAGTAGTGGATAGAAAATACAGGGAAAACAATTATCTCCAGTATAGACAAGGGCAGATCTGTTTATAGTGAAGATGAAAATGTTTTCCTGGTACCTTGTTTCATAGCATCCTGATGAAAAGAGATTGGAGGGCCTCTCCAAGCAGCTGGACTGGGATGTCCGCAGCATTCAACGCTGGTTCCGACAAAGACGCAACCAGGAGAAACCAAGCACGCTGAAGAGGTTCTGTGAGAGCATGTGAGTTGCTGTTTATCTTTTTGAAAGAAAAACCTGTTCATTCCATCCCTGACATGAAAACTAATGGCTTGATGCAGGCTCCAGCAGGACCCCCCCGCAAAAAAAAGCATGCCTTCTGGCAGAAAAAAGTAGTCCCTGAAAAACTAGGGGATAGTAGTTTGTCAGAATTTGTGATTTCTACATCTGGTGCAGTAAATGAAGTTTGCTTCCTAATGGAGTTTCAACACAGCAGGCAGATTACAAGGCCTACAGTGGTATTTTCAGTCAACTACCTTTGAAATGCAGCACAAAAAGCCATTACTTTTATATTTTGCATTTTAATAGGGGGACTTTGTCACGATGTTCTTTCCACTGATAAAAGCCGAGATACTAGGATATATTATCAGAGCGTCATGATAATGTCCTGTCTTCCTGGAGTTTTAAGAAATGGCTATATTATATTCTTTGGTGAGTTTAATGAAGCATTGCTTGAAGTGGGGGTGTAATGAAAGTCTCTTCCATTTCTGAAATGTGAATTTTTGATGTGTAAATTAGAAGTCAATAAAGCTGTTAAAAATAGTAAAAGACCTGCGGAGAACTCTGAGCACAGTGTTATTTTGAACTAGTAACACTCAAAACCCATGTCTGAGAAAGAAATATTGAAGCTTCAAGCATATCCCCAACAAAGGCAAAATTCTGGCTCGAGACTGGTTGCTGTATGTGGTCTTCATCCTTTGAGATGAAGAGTGTGCCTTTGTCCACCAGTGCTTTTTTCTTTGGGAGCTTTTTCCTGACACCTGGCCCCTTAAACAATAATGCTGTCAGTATAGCTCTTTCCTTTTGGGGTCGAAGTTGCATTTTCAAGTTTAGCTTTCAATTATGCTGAAAAAGTATGTTAACAATTGCAATCTGAAGCTTAGAGGGAAACATAATTTTTTGGGAGAAATGAATGAGAGGCAGAATAATATCATAAATCCTCAGGCTGGATAAATATGGGAAACAAACAGGGTCTTCAGAAGGTCAGAATATTTATAAAACCTGGACAAACAACCTAGCGGATAGAATATGCAAAGCCCTTCCTATAATTGCACTAGTGGCAGTTTATGGAAGAAGGATTTATGGATCTGGGCTCCTGATCAAAAGCTGGAATAGCTTCCTGGTTTGGTTGTGCCACATGCACAAAGGGCCTGGGCTCCATTGCTGAGCCGCAGGTCTGAGTAGAGGTGAGGAGGGCTTCTGAGGTGGTGCTATTGGTAAAGAATTGCCTGCCAGTGCAGGAGATGCAAGAGACACAGCTTCGATCCCTGGATCGGGATTGTCCCCTGGAGTAGGAAATGGCAACCCACTCCAGTATTCTTGCCTGGAAAATTCCATGGGTAGAGAGCCCTGGTGCGCTTCAGTCCATGGGGTTGCAAAGAGTCAGACCCGACTGAGCACCCACACATACAGGGTCTAGGTGCATAGCCATGGGGTGAAATTCATGTGCCAGCTTCCTTTCCTTCAACATCTTTGGTGACTCAGTGCAGTCCCTTTCCATTCTACACTGAGTCAACACCACTTTCTGTGCCAGTATGCATAGGAACCAGTTACCTGGATCTTGTTAAAATGCATCTGATTCAGTTGCTCGGTCTGGGATAGCAGCCAAAATTGAATATTTAACAAGTTCCCAGGTGATTCCACTGGTTCACTGACCACATTTTGAATAGCAAGGTTAAACAGTGTACCAGTGTCTTCTTCCTGAATTCAGCTGGATTTTATCTGCATACCACAGTCACCTGGATGGTCATGGTTATAATCAGTTAAAAGTGTTTTTAAATGATTACTAGAGACTTGGTAAAGTGCAAGCACAGTACGGGTGGGTGGTGCGTACATTACTGATTAGGATCTCCTCCCTCCAGAAGCTTCACATGATAGTATCAAGGGGATGGGACAAAATATCTGAGTATGTGTGTATCCATTAGAGATACTAAGAAATAAACGTGTATGTGTTCTGTATGGTTGGTATGGACAGGCAGTAAAGATTAAAGGAGAAAGATCAGCTGTGGGTTAGCGTAAATCAGGGTTCCTGGGACTAGAACAGTCTGTACCTGTGGCCTTGGCCTCTCCTTTGTTGAACTTTGCTTTGAAACTCTCTTCTTTCTTGACTGCTGAGTTGCCACCAAATTTTTACTCCTGCCTTTCCGAGGGCCTTTGCACCATTTGTTCTGCATTTTCACTGGGTCTTTAATGGGCTACTTCTCCAGATTTGACCTTTATTTTTCTCATTCTATCTTCTACCTTCTCTCCCTTCATCAGCATCTTCCAAAGCTATGTGTCCAGTGCAGAGATTTCTTCTGCATCATCATTCTGCTGTCTCCCACTGGCAACTCTGATTTGCTTTCATGCCTGATTTCCCTCTTTCTCCAGTTGTTTGTATGCCTCCATTCTGTTACAACTTGAAACTCAACCCAATTAGCCACTCCCATTGGTTCCATTAGTTCTTTGTAAAGCCAACTGCTATGGTGCTGATCCTAATTCCCCTCCTAGGTCTCTTATTTATCTCATACTTACAAATTTTTTTTTTGCTGCAAAAAATTATAGTTTCCTAAAATACTACTGTGTCCATGATCTGTTGGTTTACAACTTAATGATTTTTCTGTAAGATAAATCTTGTAGATAAATCAAGAGCCTCTTGATGAAGGTGAAAGAGGAGAGTGAACAAGCTGGCATAAAACTCAACATTCAAAAAAATAAGATCATGGCATCCAGTCCCATCACTTCATGGCAAATAGATGGAGAAACAATGAAAACAGTGACAGATTTTATTTTCTTGGGCTCCAAAATCACTGCAGATGGTGACTGTAGCCATGAAATTAAAAGATGCTTGCTCCTTGGAAGAAAAGCTATGACAAACCTAGACAGTTTATTCAAAAGCAGAAACATTACTTTGCCAACAAAGGTCTGTATAGTCAAAGCTATAGTTTTTATAGTCATGTATGGATGTGAGAGTTGGGCCATAAAGAAGGCTGAGTGCTGAAGAATTGATGCTTTTGAATTGTGGTGCTAGAGAAGTTTCTTGAGAGTCCCTTGGACAGCAAGGATGTCAAACCAGTCAATCTTAAAGGAAATCAACCCTCAATATTCATTGGAAAGACTGATGCTGAAGCAGAAGCTCCAATATTTTGGCTGCCTGATGTGAAGAGCTGACTCATTAGAAAAGACTGTAATGCTGGGAAAGATTGAAAGCAGCAGAAGGGGACAACAGAAGATGGGATGGTTGGATGATATCACTAACTCAATGGACATGAGTTTAAGTAAGCTCCAGGAGATAGTGAAGGACAGGGAAGCCTGACGTGCTGTAGTCCCTGAGGTCAGAAAGAGGCAGACATAGCTGAGTGACTGAACAACAACAACATCTTAGGTTCTTTAATCTGAAAGCTAGAGCCTTGCTTTTCTTTGGTATTAGCCACCCAAATGAGCCCTTTCCTTCTAGAGGGCTGTGTTTTCACTGTCCACTCCTTGGTCATTCCTGCCTCGGTTTGATATGTTCTTGGATTGAAACACCTGCATTCCTCTGCCACACCCTTTTATCCCAGTTTTATTCTTCAGACCGCACGCCTTCTCAGTAATCTGCCATGACACTTGGATCTGGAGTAAGCACTAGTTCTTCTGAATTTTCAGAGTTTTTATTAATAGTGAATCAACATGCTTTGTTTATGTGAATATTTAGCTTTTCTTAGCTTGTCTGTATATTTTCACCCTAATTGTGTCACATGTGCTCCTTGAGGACACAAGAATTGCATCTTGTTTTTCTTACATTCTTCTCAGCCTTTATTACAACATATAGAGTCTGCTGAGTAAGTATTTTTTAAGTGACTGTATGTTATGAAGGCATTATTTTGGAATGGTTTGCTGATCTAAGTTGGCATCCTGCCTCCCCAAATGAAGAGTGCCTAATATAGACACCATTTGGCTTAAAATTTGTCTGGGAAAATTACTGAACAATGAGCCAATTTCAAAGACAAGAGTTCAGAGGAAAGATTGAGGTGGCAAAGGAGAACATTTAGACAACACCTTGAAGAATTAAGCAAAATTATATTTGTCTCTGTGTACAGATGTGTATGTCATAGTTATTTGTCCGTCAATATAAAAGATGATCTGAAAAGCTTGTTCTTAATCAGGGATGCACTTCACAGGCACCTGCTCTGCTTTTCAAAATACACACGCCTAGGCCCCACCTCAGGATGTCTTATTCAGTATGGTGACCAAGTGAAGGCCTATCTTGGAAAGAATGCCCTGAATACTTATAATAACACATCCCTGGTTAAGAAGCACTAATCTCTAAAAAGAGATGACTGCTTTTCAAAAGTACTAAAATTCAAATTTGCAAGACAGCACAGATTTGGGGCTTGTGGATCTCGGCTCAAATGTAAAGATTCTATAGTTTTTCTGTTATGTAAGTTATTATTTTGGAAACTATAGAATCCCTTCAGGGGAGCATGCTTCGTCTTTTAGCAGTGTCGAACAGCACTGATATGCATGCCAAACAGCGCTGGTAGCCATCTGTTGGCCTGTCCAATTTTTGGCACACCCATTTAATACAGATGGACTGAGTAGAAGTTGTTCGGCAAGTAATGTGTTGAAACATTGATGTGACTTTTTTTTCCTTCATGCTTGATGTCAGTCATCAGCAGCTATGTTAGTTTTGATAACTGTTTCTTCCAGAAGCTTTTAAATCCGTATTGGCAACTGAAATAGAGATTTTCAAGAGTGAGTGAACAATTTATAAAAAGGAGATGACGCTTATTCTGAAAGTTTTATTTTTATTGAAAATATTATTTATTTTTATATTATCTTGATGCAGTTGCTAGTGGAGGAAGGCAAAGTTTCCACAGATTCAAACCGTGGATCCTCCGGCTAAAAGCTCCCACTTAGAACCAACAAGTTTCTCCTAAATTGAATTGGGTTGCAGTTTGCTCCATATGGACTCTTGTAAGATGAGGGCCTGAGGTTGTCTTTTCTTTGCTGTTGCTGTTCGGTCA